GATCACACAGAACGAAATAGCTGTTCCCCCCCCCGCCCCCAATATGTAGAATCACAGCCCCTCTGGATCCCAAAACCACAGACTTTGTCACCAGAAAACCTACCCGGCCACTGCGGTCCCTCCGGGGTGCCCACTGTGGTTCCGTCCCACCTGGAGATCCCCCCCATTTGACAGAAACACCTGACTCACCACCCCCACCACGAGGGCTCTGCCAGATGCCCGCCCCAAGTCACATTCGGGCAGGAGAGAGATCTCACCTGTATCCTTAGGTCAGATTGTCCGTGACCTCAGTGTGTGTGTGTGTGTGTGTGTGTGTGTGTGTGTGCGCGCGCGCGCGCGTGTGTGTGCGTGCGTGTGCGCGCGCACTTGGAGGACTGTCCGGCGTTTGAAGTGACCACAGTGCTTCCTGTTAGCCAGTATTGTTGATTAAATGGTGTTCTTCCTGAAGCCGCACGTTGGGATTTTTGCCTCACGCTTTTGACTGGGTCTCTCCAGGACACGAGGAACTTGATTTGCACTCTGTTTTTCTTTCCAAACGGCTCTGTGGCCTTTCGCCTCTCCAAGAGTCCTTAAAGTTCTAGAACGGAAGAGGACACCGCAGGGGCCCGGGCGGTGCACCCCGCGTGGCCTCGCAGAGCCCGGGGGTCACCTGGGAGACAGGAGCTCAGCACCGCTGCAGGTCGCCTCCGCGGAGCACGCTTCCCACCCAGCCCCCGACTCGGCACTTTGTTTACAAGCCCGCGACCGTGCATACAGGTCATTCCCGTGTTCACGCTTTGTATTTTATGTTGGAGATGGGCGGCCACTATACAGATATTTATTACGCTTTCCAGACTTTCTGAATAGATTTTTTTGAATAAACATGAGTTTTATGAAGTGTAATATTTTTCTAGCAGAACGGTAATTTGGGGACTGTCTGTGTCGTTGCCAATTATCATCAGCGGATACGCTTCTCACCCCTGCTGCCCCCTCGCTCTGTCCCGGCTGCGGCCCCTGCGGCTGGAAGGTGGCTTCCCCTTGGGGGGGGTCGGGACGGGATGGCCGTCCGGGCCGCGTGGAGAGCTGGTGGGGGGCACGCAGGTGCCCCTGCGTGCGCGTGCGGCTTGTGTGTGAGCACGTGCGCCGTGTGGTGTGTGTGTGCACGTGTGCCCGAGCGGATTGTGTGCTTACGTGTGCCTTGTACAAGTGCGTGCACTCCACACGGAACCTGGCCGTGTGATGGGGCAGGTGCCGGCCGGACACGTGGACGGCTGTGTGGCCGGCTAGGCAGGTGGCGGGGGGGTGGGGGGTGCCGGGGGTGTCCCCGCTGTCGCCGGTCTCTGCACAGCCACCCGGCCTCCTCCCGCCTGTCTGTTCTTGGCACACAAGCAAAACAAGCTAGGCTCTTGTCCGCCGCTCTCCGACCTAATTTCTTCTTCCCGTTTGGTCCATTGCTGAGCGGCCCGTGTCCGCAAGCCAGACGCGCACACACGCGGACGTCCACAGCTTTCTGCCGCCACTTCCGAGGTGCCTCCCCGGCAGCACCAGGAACTCTTCCCGGAACCCTCAGGCTCTCTGCGCAGGCAGGAGTGTTGAGCCGGCCCAGGGGTTCCAGGGCCCACAGGAAACGCATGAACATTCTGCCTCCTGCTACACGGGGGAGGGGGGGGAAGGGCGGCCACCATATGCCCGCACCCCCTCCCCCGTCACTGACCCCGTGGCACAGACCTGGTGGCGTGAAATAGCCTTCCCTCCCAGCTGCTCCAGAGGTGAGAAGCCCCGGGTGGGTCCTGGGGCCAAAGTCAAGGTGGGGGCAGGACTGCGTTCGGGGGGCTTTGGGAACAGAGCCCTGCCTTTCCCCGGCCCGGGGCCCCCGCGTTCCTGGGCCCCTGGCTCTTCCCCCATCCGCAGAGCCAGCCCCAGGGGGCTGAGGCCCGTGTGTTCCCCTCCCCCACCCCCACCTCCACTTTTGACGACACTTGGCGACCTCAGCGCACGTGGATACTGGCGGATACTCTCCCTGTTTCAGGGTCAGCTGATTAGCACCTGACACACTCACGGGTCCTGGGGACCAGGACACGACATCTTCTGAGGGCCCATTATCCTGTCCACCACATCACACAGAGCGACAGTCCGTGTTGTCGTCTTCAGTCTGTGTGTTTGTCTGGGTGCGAAGGTAGGATGTCAAGAACGGTGACGTTTTGGAGGCTTTGGGGACGAGTCGGTCCGGCACGGTCTCCGGTGTGTGGATGAAGGCCCGAGACTCGGGGTCGGAGCCCGCAGCAAACAGCGTGGCCCCAGGCCCAAGCCCTTCCCCCTTGCCCTCGGGTCCCCCCATGGTGACGGAGAATGGTACACACACGATGGGCTAGGTCACAGCTGGGCACCCGCACCTGAGAGACCCCAGTCGATAAGGGCTGGCCACCCTTGGCCCCTGGGGGGCCCCTGGCGCTGTCCTCCAGGCAAGCGTCCTTGAGAAAACCGTCCAGTGACGGCTCACACACGCACAGGGACACAAGACCCATGGGGACTCACCTCCCAACAGTAGTGGCTCTGTGTCTGCTGTCCCCGAGTGTCACCCAAGGACTTGCAGTGGTCCTGCAGATACCTTTCATGTGGCATACTGTGCATTTGTTCTCAGACTCAGCTGGTCCCTTGTCCTAAGGGACACCGACCCAGGCTGAGACCAAGAGGCTGAGGCCACGTTTCGTAAAGGAGCCTTAGGCCTGGCTCTTGGCTTGCCAAGGCTCGGCCCCGGCAGACTCCGACATTTCATCTGGCCTGTGACCTCCTAGGTACAAGGAGCACACTTTGTTTGCAAAGGCGGATTTCCAGAGTCCAAGGCCCACAGCAGGTGCAGGTGTGCCCCCCCCCCCCCGGGCAGTGTGCACACGTCCCGCGTCCCCCTAGCTGGACTTGCTCAGCCTCGCCCGGGACCAGGACACCTGCCTTCACGCGAGTTCAACCTCATCTGTTGTTGCCAGTTTGTCAGCGTTTCTACCCAGAGTGAAGTGATGTCGTAAACGCTGCATGAAAAATCAGACCGAATGAGACGATCCCTCGAGGCAGAGATTCAGTAATTCAAAAACCACTTCCTGAGCCCGGACCACCGCCCCTCACTGTCCCCGGAGCTAGAGATGTGGCTTCTCTCAGCCACAGATGTTACCAGCCTGTCAAGGCACAGCTATGAACTTTGTAGTTTAGTTCATGCATTCCCTGTGCATGGCGATAATTCAGGATCTAAAATCAAAAGCATTCATCCATGACGTCTGTCTGTCCAATCCGGGTATATGTTTGTCACTTTACCGTGATGAGGAAAAAACAGCCAATAAGGGGCGCCTGGGGGGGGAGGGCTCAGCCGGTTAAGCGTCCGACTTCAGCGCGGGTCACGACCTCATGGTTCAGGGGTTCGAGCCCCACGTCGGGCTCTGTGCTGACAGCTCACCTGAAGACCTTGAGAGCACAGACCAAGGTTTCCCAAAGAAGAGGGAATTCTCCTCAAGACTGCAACATGGAGACCCTGCCCGAGTCTCTGACCATCAGATCAGACAGTGACATCGCCTCTTACCTGAGTCTCCAGCCTGCTGGCTCGTTCTATGTACGTCAGGTTTGCTAGTCCCCACGATGGTGTGAGCCAGTTCCTTAAAATAAATGTCTCTCCCTCTCAATAGATAGATAGATAGATGATAGATATATACATAGTAGATATGGATAGATAGATGATAGATATAGAGGGACACCTATGTAGCTAGAGATAGAAATATATCTCCTACTGTCTCTGTTTCCCGGAAAACTGATTCAGGAAGACTGTGTTTCCCTTGGAGAAAATGAAGAGGCAAACCTGGCTGTCACCTGGGCCCGATACAGTCACAGCAAGTCATATGCACGCCATCAAATCCGCAGCAGGGGCCCAGGCAGCTCCCTCATTGTCAAGGACCTCAGACCCGCTTTCATTGTGGCCACGTGTTTCCAATCATCTGGCTCAACTACTTCGTGCCAAACGTTGTAGGCAAGCGCGAGTGCAATGCTGGTCCCAAGGGTTTCTCGGCATCATCAGGGCCTGTCCAGCCAACCAAATTCTGCCCCCTCCTTCACGTGCCAGCTCAGGCAAAACCTTCTCTGGACCCTGTCACTACTCAGAGTCCCTACCACAGCGAGGAAGACGTTGCCAGGAATTCGGTTTGGGTGCGTCCTTCTACCCCTGCCTGGGACACCGCTGAGGGTATGTTCTCCCTTCCTTCCTTCCTTTTCAAAGTTATTTATTTATTTTGGGGGGGGGGTGGAGAATGCACCTGAGCAGGGGAGGGGCAGAGAGGGAGAGAGCTCACGACTTGAGCGGAAACCAAGAGTCAGTGGGACGCTTAACCTGCTGAGCCCCCCAGGCGCCCCATGGGCTGTGTTCTTTCTATTCTGAGCCCAGCACAGCGCCTGGCAGAAAAAAAGTATTTGCAAATGAACAAACAGATGAGGTATGGAGCTGCGGGGCATAGGACATTCTAAATAGGGCCTGGCGTCCTCAGGTGGGTTAGGTGGCCTCATTGAGGGCGGCCGGTGGATGACATTAGCTCATTTCTTCTTCCCAAAGCTTCGCTGCTGCGCCCAGCACAGGGCACCTGCCATCGGGGTGCTCGCGGTTGGCACAGACCGCCACCAGAGGGCGCAGGGCAGCTCCCTCCAGACCCAAACTTGGCTCTCCTCCTGGATCCCTGCACTCACCTGAACGCACTGCACAGCATTTCCTAGGGATGAAGCCGGGATCCTTTGATCCGAAGCCTCTCTCCCACCCCTCACGTCCCGACAGGTCACGTGCATGGCGCCTGAGTCTGCACGGCCCTGGGCCACCGAGGTCACCGCCGGACACTGCAGCTCAGAGCTCTGTCCGAAGACGCAGCACCCCCCCCCCCACCCGGCCCCGTGACCTCGGCCAGTACGACGTCCTCGGCCACCTCCAGGCCCACCGCACCCGAACTTTATGCTGTGCTGCCGAGCGGCCACGAGCCCACATGGGGCTATTAACGCTTAAACTTGACATACAGTTCAGCTTCAGTTCTGTGGCCACAGTGGCCACGTTTCAAGTGTCCCACAGCCGCGTGAGGCTAGGGCTCCCGTGTTGGACAGCAGAGACTCTAGAACATTCCCTTAATCGCAGACTATTCTAGTGTGCCGATCGGGAGTCTTAGTTACAGATAAGAGAATCCGCTCCAGCCGGCCTAAGCAGGAAGAGAGTTATTCAAGCGTATTGAGTAACTTGAGCCCGCGGCCGAGCAGGCCTGGAAAGCTGCGTGGCCAGAGACCGCGAAACCAGAGACAGTGTCCCGGCAGCGTTGGGGGGGGGGAGGTGCTGGCAGAAACACCCTGCCCCCCCGCCCGCGCACCTGCCCCCCCGCCCGCGCACCTGCCCCTGCCCCTGCCTAGGCCCCCGCCCACGCACTGCACCCGTCCCTGCCCCCACCACCTTTCCCCGGCCCTCGCAACCGCACCTGCCCCTCCCCCAGCCCCCACGCACCCAGAACTTGCCCCTGCCCCCACCACCTGGCCCTCCCCCTGCCCCTGTCCCTGCCCCCACCCTCTCGCCCCCGCTCCCTGTCCTCCCCACCCCCGCACCTGCCCCCTGCCCCTGCCCCCACACCTACACCTACACCCGCACCCACACCCGCTCCCTGTCCTCCCCGCACCCGCCACCTGCCGCCCAGCTTAGCCTGCCAGGGACCGCAGGCTGGATCACCCCGGACAAAACTCCCTCCGCCCCCCGCCTCGCGAGGACGACGCCTTTCCACCTGGCTCCCAGACTTCCAGATATCTGCAGCACAAGAAAGCCGATCCGTCACGCCGTCCACACGGCAGCCTGCGGCCACCGCAGGTGCTACAGCCCTTCTCCCTGTGCTGGGAGCGGCCGTGACAGCGGACGCACGGCCGCCTCTCAGGCAACGACCCTTTGTAAATGATGGGGGCGCAACGCGCCCCGCCCCCCGCCCCGGAGAGAAAACCCAGACGGGCCTCAACCCATCAGCTCCACTGCAGGTGACCCTTCCCGTCCGGCCCGTCCAGGGCCGTAGCCCAGAACTGAGGAGACACGCGGTGCCACCCACGGCCAGCTACAGAAACGGGGGACCCCGGGGAGGGGCGGGGGGGAGGAAATGGGTTAGGGTAAAGCCCAGGAAGAAGTTGTGGGTACTCACCGTTCAACTGTGTCCCCCTCCAGACAAGCTCCTCAGCCCACGGAGGACCGTGGGAGCTCAGTCCAGTTAGGGTGGCGTCGCTGGATGGGCCCTCGTCCTGTATGACTTTCCCTGGAGGAAGGGGGTCCACGCCAGGCACCAAGGCCTCCACAGAAACCAAGCCTTCTCACGCCTTGGCTTTGGACCTCCAGCCTCCAGAAGTGAGACAGAGAAATTTCTGTTGTTTAAGCCGCCCGTGTGGTGGTTTGTCACCGCGGCCCGAGTGCACAGACACGGCCACCGTAGCTGTCACAGCAGAAGCTGGTGGCAGCCCCAGCCGCCTCCCCCAGGTCTGATTCCGTGTACCTTTCCCCCCAACCAGGGTGTGAGCTGCCTGGGACCTTCTGTCTCGTGTCCACCTTGTTCTGCGCCTGGGGGGTGGGCCTTTGTCACGGGCGAGCAGGGGGCCACCTCCTCACCCCCCCCCCCGCCACCCCCAGGGTAGCAAGAGCCCCGGTGCCCTTGTTCACCGGCTGAGATCACTGGAAGGTGACGCCTGGGGTCTGTGGGTTACGCAAGACGTCTGACGGGCCAGCTGGAGCATTTGTGTCGCCTGGGGAAGCGTCCTTCCGCAGAGCCCTAGAGCACAGAGAAAGGAAGGAAATGCTTTGCTGGTGAGTCCCCGGCCGCCAAGGGAGGGGGTTCTGCTGGCTGCTGGCACCTACCTCCCACAATCTCCAGCCCAACAAGGGCAGAAAAGCGCCTCGCTGCAGGGCCAGTGTCGGCTGCCCAGGCCAGGACATTCCCCCCCCCCCCACCCCGGTCCCCCGGTGCCGTGACCGTCCCTCAGTCGCCCACACCGCTATCCTAACAGGGCACCATCCATAGGACCGCATGGCAGGACTCGGGAATCCCGGGTCACTGGCCGCCGTGTCTCCTTCCCTCCCATCTTGGTCAGCTCAGGCCCTAGCAAAACACCTGACTGGGGTGGACACAAGGGGCCTTCGTTCCTCGTCGTTCAGGAGCCCAAGAAGTCTGAGGTCGGGGCGCCAGCACGTCCCTGTCTGGTGGGACCCACCTTCTGGCTCACAGAAGGTTCTAGTATCTCCCTTTAAGGGGCTCCACCTCCATGACCTCACCTCAAGCTAATCACCTCCAAAGGCCCCCCTCCAAATACCGTCACCTCAGGGGGGTAGGGCTTCAAAGTATGGGCCTGAGGACACAAACCCTCAGCCCATCGTGCCCCTTGGCCGTGAGTTTCTGGGTCAGAAACTATTTGTGCATTTTCAATGCGTTTGGGCCAAGGGTCGCCCACGGGTGCGGCTGCTGGAGAAAACAGGGCGTGTATCCGTGACTGGCACTTACTGTGCCCTCCCTTCGCCCCCCTCCCCCAAGCAGGTCAGGGAGAACCACCCTGAGGCCACCAGGAGGTGCCAGGGGGCTGGGCCACCGCTGGCCCAACACACTTGCGTCAGACTGCCCACCGCCTCGCACAGCCTCCAGCTGTGAGCGGGACAGACGGAGCCCGGAGCCCCGGTCTGCTGTGCCCTGCCCCGTCACCTCCTGGGACTCCCTCTGGCACTCAGCACGACCTGCCGGATCTATTCCCCCCCCCCCCGCCCCCCACTGCCCCACCTGCCTCTCCCACTGGAGTGTGAGCAGGGCAGAGTCCCCGATTGTGTTGACCTGAACCCCAGGCACAACACCGGACATCTCATGGGTGTGAGCGATGCTGACAGCAAGAGAGTGGGGAAGAGCACAGAGACGGGGCGGGGGGGGGGGGGGGTGCTGTGAGGTCCGAGCCGCATCTCCCTTAGAAATACTGCCCTTCCTCCTCCTCCCCACCTGCCCCAAAACTCCCTGGGAAGCGATTTCAGCACATGGTACCCGGGCTGCGTGAAAGCAGACGCACTCGTGCACTTTGGCATCTGGGAGTCAGGGGTTCGAATTCGAGCCTGAGCCTTTCTGATGGGCGTGAGGACCCACCCGGGGGTCCTTCCTTCCCTCAGGGAGACCTCACAGAAGCGCAGGGGCCTCCCGCACTCCGCGTGCGAGGCCACGGGACCCAGGAGGTGCCCTGTTCCCTTGGCAGAAACATCCAGTGCAACTGACTGCCACCACAGGCAATGTCCCCTTAAGGTTAATCATTCAGCGGCACTAGAGTTTGACCAGGGAATCCGGTAAAACCGCATCTTCTTATGTGTAGAACGAGGCCAGGGATACGGGATGAGGATAAGCCAAATATTAGCTTTCAGATATGCTGCCTAGGATGGCCTTCCAGACCTGAGCGGTGTGGCCCACGTGGAAGTTGCTCTGAGGTCAAGCAAACACACTTAACCCTGGTGAGCGGCGAACTTCGACCCACTTTGTGGAAGATTCCTACAGAACTGAGCTGAGCTCGCTCTGTGTTTTCACGTCCCTGACTCATCCGTGTGACGGTACGACCCTCCCGGGGAGTTCAGGTCAGATGTGCCTCGGTTCACCTGGCAATTTTCACCTCCGGCACTGAGATCACATTTAGGGAAAAAAAACAAGAAAAAAGACAGTGTGTCTGCTGAAGTCCAGACAAAGCCCTTGGAATTCAAGTTCCCCACCGCCAGCTCCAGGCGGACAAGAGCCACCATCGTGGAAAGCTCGTGGAGCTTGCTGGGGGCCACGCAGGGAAAACAAGAGGCGACCCCGGGCCATGACCAGGAGGAAACGTTCATGGAGCATCAGAGGCGAGAATCCACCACGTGTCTTGGGGAAACAAGCCACCGACCACGGGTGGAACACAGCAAGGAAGGGCCACACCGTGGATCGAGATACAGACAATTCATATTCATGACAATATGCCCAGCCAGTATTAGGTACTCAGAATAGACACAAAATCTTCCACTGCCGGAACGTCATTTTTTTAATGTTTATTTTTGAGAGAGAGAGAGAGAGAGAGCAAGCGGGGGAGGGACAGAGAGAAAGGGAGACACAGAATCCAAAGCCGGCTCCAGGCTCTGAGCTGTCAGCACAGAGCCCAACGCAGGGCTCGAGCCCACAAATCGTGAGATCACGACCTGAGCCGAAGTCGGAAACCCAACGACTGAGCCACCCAAAGCACCCCATGGAACATCATTTAGCTTAAAAACGGTAACACCTAATGGGCTGATCTAAAACGCACTAGCAACTGCAGTATGAAACAACATAGAAAATACAGAACAGAATTTCAAATGTGGAAACAAACGTTGCCAATTCGTCGCCTGAAAAATAAACCCAGGGAGAGGGTGTTTTTGAGTCCTGAGTGTCGGCTAGAGGTGAACAAGCTGATGTGTGTCACAACAGACGGTGCTCTAGCTATGTTAGCTGCGAACTGGGATTTACTGGAATTTTAAACTGCGACCCTGATGTTCCTCTTAGGGCTCTGTGTGTTACATTGTGTGATACACTGTGAAAATATTATATTCAGTCTTCTGAAGCACACACTAGCAAGAAAGTCACAGAGTTTTTAAATTGTGCAAATACCATGAAGCATCGTCAGTTTCAAAGACCCTGGAAAGAAAGGACAAGGAACAGAATGATGTCTGCCAGTGCTTGTTGGCTGAGTCACGAAAGAGTCCTTTACCTGCAGTCCAAGAATTTCTCGAGGGACGGACGCCTGGGCATCTGAGTCGGTTGGGCATCTGACTCTTGATTTGGGCTTAGGTCATGATCCCAGGGTCGTGGGATCGAGCCTTGCATCCGGCTCCATGCTGAGCATAGAACCTGCTTAAGATTCTCTCGCCGAATACTCAATAATCAAAGACAACAAATGGAGTGGGATTTATGTTTTCTCATCAATATCAGCGTGTGCATAGAAGAGCTCAACGTGAAGCTTAACAACACCATTTAAGAGCTTTTTGGGGGCAACTGGCTGGCTCAGTCGGCAGAGAGGGTGACTCTTGATCTCAGGGTAGTGAGTTCGGGTCTGACGTCGGGGGATCTCAGGGTAGTAAGTTCGGGTCCGACGTCGGGTGTAGAGATTGCTGAAAAGTAAAATCTTTGGGGGGAGGGGGAGGGAAAAAGCTTATTGGTGACCTTGCTAGGCAGGTAGGGAAATGTATTTGCAATCCAAATCTTTGGAACACAAATCCATATGGTGATTTTACGAATTTTTCTAACGTGAATAAATAGGCAGAACGTGTTAACAGCACGAATTTACAGCATTATAAGAATTAGCTGCAAACACTACCCCCAGAGCTGAGGGGCTGCTTCTCAGTTTACACAGTAAGGAACCTTTGAATTCAGTGCTAACACAACTGAGTTGAAGCGGGAGGAGGCCGGTTCACCTACACTGAGCTGATGTATTTTGCAACTGATATGCTTTTGCTTCAAAGTAAATTCTCCTAAAAAAGATTAACTAGTATTGCCAGTGTGAATGCAAATGTTAAAGGAAAATGATTTTCGGGGTTACTCGATTCAGTTTTGGAAACTTTTTCCATATGCCTGAAATAATTGGTTACATAAATATAATTTTTAAACTATAAATTCTATGAAATTTAAATACAGATCAAATATTGCTAATGAAGAGGCACCCAGGGGGCTCAGTCGGTTGAGCGTCCGACTTCGGCTCAGGTCATGATCTCACGGTTTGTGAGTTTGAGCCCCGCATCGGGCTCTGTGCCGACAGCTCAGAGCTTTGCACCTGCTTCTGATTCTGTGTCTCCCTCTCTCTCTGCCCCTCCCCTGCTCACGCTCTGTGTGTCTCTCTCTCAAAACTAAACAAACATTTAAAAAAATTTTTTTAAATATTGTTAATGAAAATTTAGCATCTGGGGAGCGCCTGGCTGGCTTAGTCAGAGGGGTGCGTGGCTATTGATCTCGGGGTCTTGAGTTCAAGCCCTACATTGGGTATAGAGATTACTAAAAACATTAAAAAAAGAAAACTTACCATCTGAATTGAAATGAATCATAAGTGTAAAATACTCACCAGATTTTGATGACTTCATATGAAAATAAAATACTTCAATAATAATTTTATACTGATTACACATTGAAATCATATTTTGGATATTCGGCCGGACTATATCACTAAAATTAACCCCACCTATTTCCTTTACAGCTTGAATGTGGTCACTAAAAACTTCAAGTCCTGCGTGTGGCTCCGGTGATATTTCGAGTTCCTTTTTCCTCATGCCGGGGTCTCGTGGGAGAGGGATTCCGTCGCCGGCTGTCCTATTGCATGTTGCACCTGCTGGACATGTTTGATTACTTCCTGAGAGTGTCCCTGGGTTACATGCCTTAATCCTTGCATTTCCAGGCTTCATGGGATTCAGGTTCCAGATGTGGGTGGACCCTTCACCAGCTGTTTACTTGAAGCATCACACCGGGAGGCAGTTAAGTTACAGTCCTTCTGATGGTGATGCTAAGTGGAATCTCCTGGATCTCTCCTTGTACATTTGCATTTCCCCTTTCACACAGCGAACAATCCCTGGGAAGATCTGGCTCCCATTTATTTACCAAATGACTAGAGTTCTGTGCTGCCTTCTGTCTGAATCCGTCCCTGCAGTCGGGATTGCAAACTGGTGTTCTTTTCATTCGACCACTCTCCCATATCTATTAGCCGAACTCCTTCTGAGGACAAGAGCTCTCCTCCGTCACTAGGCCTGTCTGAAGTAGTTCGTATGGGTAAACGCTTCTTTTCCTTTAATTACCGGAAGAGTTGGCGCACGAATTATGACAAAGGAGTTTCAGGTTTTTATTTTGTTGGCTTTTCTTTCTGTGCCTTTTGTAAGGTTTTTGTTTGTTGCTAAGTTTTTTAAAATAACTTTACCGGGATGCAACTCCAATGTCCGCCTTTAAAGTGTACAATTCAGTGGTTTTTAGCACATTCACAGAGTTATCCCGCCATCTGTACAACCAATACTGGACGGTTTCCACCCGGAAGAAGAGTGCATGGCCCTGCCCCAAGCCTCGCAGCCCCAGGCGGCCGCTGGTCTGTTTCCTGTCTCCCTGGATGAGCCCACTCTGTGCACATCATATACGTGGCCTCATACTGCATGCGGTCCCGGGTGCCTGGCTCCTTCATAAGCACCGTGCTTGCTAGATCTATCCATGTGGTAGCGCGTGCCAGGACTTCGTTTCGTTTTATTGCTGAGTAATATTCCATCGCATGGCTAGTCCACAGTTTATCTGTTGCTCAGTTGACCCAATATTTGGGTTGATTTCACTCTTCGGCTGTTATTTACAATGCTGCTATGAGCATTTGGATACAAGCGCTGTGTGGACATATGTTTTCAGTTCTCTTGGGTGTGTATCTGGGGGTGGGGTGGCTGAGTCATGTGGCAACCCCATGTTTCTCCCTGGGAAGACGGCCGGGCTGTTTTCCAAAGCAGTCAAGCCACTTTGCACGCCTAGCGGCCGCGAGTGGGGGTTCCGGTCCGTCTACATCCTGCCCGACACCTGTTGTGTTCCACTCTCTTGATTGTGGCCTTTCTGGAGAGTGTGAAGGGGGGGGGGGGTCTCGTGGTGGTTTTATCATTTCCCTGATGGCTAATAAGTTTCGTGAGCTTATTGGCCATTTGTGTGTCTTCTTTGGAGAAACCTCTATTCGGTCCTTTGCTTGTTACTTAATTGGGCTGTCTTTGTATTACTAGGTTGTAAGTTATTCTTTAAATAGTTCCTTATCAGATATATGACTTGCAACAAGTTTCTCCCATTCTGTGGTCTTCCTTTCCATCCTTTGGTTTTCCCATAGGGGTCATGCAGTCAGGCTTTGTTCTTTCTGATACTCAGATTGTCCTGGGTTTAGTCACTGGGAGGCCCTCCCCACGGCTTCCTTTTCTATCAACACAAAAGGGAGAGTTTCAGCCAGCTCGGAGCAGACCAGGGGGCTTTGCAGGCTCCTGCCCTCACAACCCAAGAGCTCATCCCGTGGCCGCTCCGTCCTGCTGCACAGAGAAGGAGGACTGTCTGCAGTCAGCCATGCGAGCTACCCCTTCTGTGGATGTGGCTGTAGCCGGGGCCCAGGGCCCCAAACACACCAGGTTCACCCACTCGCTGCTGGCAAAACCCAAAGGCAGAGAAAGGAGTGATGGAGAAACAGGAAAGGGACTGCTTTCAGGGAGGCCAGCTCCGGGAAGACGGCGGACTGGCGTCTCAAAGATGGTCTCCAAAGTGCCGAAGATACTTGCAGGTGTATTCGAGGAGAACGTGGGGCAGAGGTGGGTCTGTGCAGGTGGGCACTGAAGGTCAAAGGCAGCTTGTCTCCCAGTGATGCCGGCTGGTCCTGCTGGCTCAGCTCGGTCCTGATGCTCAAGGGGGTAGTTTGGGTTCCATCAGGAGATGCTTTGCCCTCAAGGGCCCTCGCCCCAAGCCAAGAGACCAGCTGGAAGGAAGAACCAACAGGGAAGCGTGAGGTCAAAGGGGAGGCAGCCTCAGTCCTTTTTCCCAGAGCAACTTGTCCCCACAGGGTGTTTTCACCACACTCAGAGCCAAACCATTGTATGAGAGAAGTTGAGATCCCCCCCCAACCTTTCTCCAACATTTATAGCCCCTTACTGATTAGAAAATGGTGCAGCAGCAGAAGGGGGCTCACAGGTAGGCACAGAAACTCAACTGCATATATGGTGCGATATTGGCTCCGTTTATAGATTAAAAACCGAGGCCTAGGCAGTTTTAAAAACTTGCCAAATGCAGGCAGCTAAATAAAAAGTGGCAGGATTTGTTCGCCTGATTGGCAGGTCTGGTTTCTTCCATCGGCACACCCTGGCGGCCGGGCATGGGGCCACTGGAGCCCCTGGACCGCCAGTCCCACGAGATGCTCCTTCCAAAGGGCCCTCTGGTGAAGGACATTTGGTAACTGCTCCATGGATTAACTTTTATGCCATCACAATTCACATGAGCTTCATAAAGGCTCTCAAAAGAGCTGCAGAAAGAAATTAACCTTGTCGGATTCACACGTTTCCTAAATGCCTTTGGCCCAGGAAACCCTGCCCTCCATTGGCCCAGGACCCCCTGCCCTCCACCGGCTCCATTTTTCCCCTGAAGCCCCTAAGAACACCATGGTAGGAGAAAGCCGTCTATACTCACAAAGCGTGTCGGCCTCTTCTTCCCTGTGACCAGCAGTGGGCGATCCGTGGGTGACAGTTTGGCATCCTGTGATTACCCAGTTCCCTCTCGCCTTTCAGGGGTTGGGTTTACTGTCTAGTTCAGTGTTTAGTGGGAGTTGTGGCTCCAATCACTCATTTCAGTATAGAATGCAAACGAGTGATGCCTCTGTTTCCTTTATCCTTTATCATAAACGATATCCTTTACCGTTTATGCCTAGGAAACTCCTGAATTGCCAAGCAAAATGAAGATTTCTTGCCCGTGAAGCCATTTCTTTGTGACTTCTGGAGGAACAGTATTGATGGGGCTTTGGGGTGATGGTGGGTCCGGAGCCGACGGCCAAGGAAGAATTCTTAAACATGTCTTTGCTGCAAAAAGGTGATTTTGTTGAAGCACAGGGACAGGACCCATGGGCAGAAAGAGCTGCACTGGGTGGTGGTGAGTGACTCATGATATACCCTCAGGTTGGGAGGGGGTCAGGGACAGAGTAAGTCTCTAAGGCATTTTGGAAGCAAGGTTTCCAGGACCTTGAAAACACCATTTATTACCGTTTAGTAAAACCTCAGCCGTGAGACCCTTCAGATGTATACGAGGGGCCATAAGCTTGGAGTATGATTGCCGGCATGTATCCTGGGGGAGTTGAGATAAAGGAGGTTTCCAAAATGAGTTTTTGTATGTTAGTTAAAGTAGACTCCTGGGATCCTGGGGGTCAGGCTAAGGTTAAGCCAAGATTCCCTTTTGCCCCCCAGCAAAGTTATCAACGAGCCAGCTGAGCTCCTAGAGGAAGGTCACTCTGCCTGTTTCAAGGACTTGTAGCTGGGCTGTAGGCAGTAAGGGAATTTAATTTTTCATTTGCCTTTCTTTCCTACACCACCATGGCCAGCAGTTAAACCCCCTTACATCTTGGTGAGGGTGATATTAGGGCTTCAGGAAATGGAGTCTGTAGGTTTCTGTGGCTAAGATTGCCTCTTTTTTTAAAAAAAAATTTTGTTAACGTTTATTCATTTTTGAGAGACAGAGAGAGACAGAGCATGAGCGGGGAAAGGGCAAAGAGAGGGAGACACAGAATCTGAAGCAGGCTCCAGGCTCTGAGCTGTCGGCACAGAGCCCGATGCGGGGCTCGAACCCACGAACTGCGAGATCATGACCTGAGCCTAAGTCGGACCCTCAACCGACCGAGCCCCCCAGGCGCCCCTAGATTGCCTCTTTCTTGCAGTTTACTAAGTTCTCCGTCAACTGAAGGAGCCCCCTGTCCTGTGTGACGATGATCTCCACCAGTCAGACATTTGCTTCCTTTCCTTTCCCCTGTTCTTGGGCAGGCAGGAGAGTCCGAGGAATATCACACACACATCCCACCTGAGGTGCTGGGTGCTGTTAGCCTGTCCTCTGCCCTCAGCTTGCCCCATGCTCCCTCATCAGTATGAGAACAGTGACCCAGGAGAAAAGTGCGTGGGGGCAGGGGCTGTTGATCTCCAAGTATTCAAGCCTTGGGGGCAGCACAATGGATTGATTACAGGTAGGACCTGAAGAGCTAAGGAGGCAAGAAAGTACACATCCATATTCTAAACGGTGCACTGGCCTCTGGGTGTCCCTGGTTCTCACTGAACTCCCGAGTTTCTTGGCTTACTCATTTACTGAATTCTTTAAATTACTAAAGCAATCAAACTAATGTGTGTTACCTAGCTGGAATCCATGTAAGGCAGGTGTTGGGCTGCAATAGATGGGCAGCAGGACGTTAACAACACATCTATGTTTTGAATGTGTGTGTGTGTGTGTGTGTGTGTGTGTGTGTGTGTGTGTTTTAAGTTTATTTAGAGAGGGGCGCCTGGGTGGCTCAGTCGGTTAAGCAGCCGACTTCAGCTCAGGTCACGATCTCGCGGTCCGTGAGTTCGAGCCCCGCGTCGGGCTCTGTGCTGACAGCCCAGGGCCTGGAGCCTGTTTCAGATTCTGTGTCTCCCTCTCTCTCTGACCCTCCCCCGTTCATGCTCTGTCTCTCTGTGTCTCAAAAATAAATAAACGTTAAAAAAAATTTTTTTTTTTTAACGTTTATTTAGAGAGCGACAGAGACAGTGCGCACAGGGCGGGAGCAGAGAGAGTGGAACGGGAACCGAGGTTCGCACAGAGTCGAGACACCGAAGCGTTTCTTTCCAGGAAGGAACTTTGTGCCGGCAACACTCGGTTGGGTTCGCACTGGAAAAGCTGAGCCCCGAGTGCAGTGAGGTGTAGTCTTTTATAAATGTTTTTCTTGCCCGTCTCCCATACATGGTAACACCCAGTCACGCGGTCTGATCAGGTGGCTTCATGTCACAGGGTCGTGAGGCATGTTACGTACGCATACAGCCAGGTTGCCTTCCTTATCTTGAGGGGTCTCCCCCCAACAGTCCTTAGGGATGAGAGAAAATCCCAAGCGGGCTCTGTGCTGTCAGCGCAGAACCCACCATGGGGCTCGATCCCACGAACTGAGAGACCGTGACCTGAGCCGAAATCAAGAGTCAGGGGTCTGACCGACGGAGCCACCCAGGAGCCCGGTCACACATCGATGTTTATAAAACACGTACTCACCCCCCAAGTCCTCCTCGGAAATTGTCTCTTGTCATCACAACAGCTGTCCCAGATGGACAACACGGTCCTCGTTATCCCCATTTCCAGAAGAAAACCTGTGTAATTAAGTGTGTTCGTTCATAAGCAGAACTACTGTGTGTTTTCCTTTTCTTTTCTTTTCTTTTTTTTTTTTTTGTTATTCCGATAAGTGAAAAAACATGGCAAGTTTACTGCCATAGAGAAGATTGCTTCCACCGTGTGAGGCATCACAGACCTGCCTGCCAGGAAGCCCTCCACAGGACCCCCACGGAGGACCCCCCTACCCACACAAGCACTGCCCTGGATACGGTGTATATGGACTGCCTACACAACACCGGCCCACATGGGTGCGGTGTAACTAAGGGCCAGCTTCCCCCCTCCTCTGACTTCAATCTGTCTGAGCTCACAGTTCCCGTTCCTCATAGTCAACAGGGAAGCCCCGTGTGTGACCGTCATTTCTGGACTTTGAGAACTCTGGGCGTATGAGGTTCTGGCTTGATGCTAGGCCTTTGCAGCCTCTTCCGGAAACCTGGGACCCAAGCCAGCGATGTTTCATTTTTACTTTTCCATACTCTGTCCGTGTAGGGACCGGGTGAGGTTTCTAGGCCTTTCTAGAATTTCAGGAAATAATGTAGCTGGGTCTCTTGCCTCCTGCTGTGTTGTCTTATACATTAGACCATATTACCTGCTCCGTAGTTGAAGTAGGAAAGATACATATTTACATGGAAGAAGTCCTAATTGTGGCAACACGAAATAAGCAAAGAAAGCACGGCTCTTAGAGAAAGAGAGCCAGATTCAGATCTCGGGGAAGCTGCTGCTTAGCAGAGCGTTATTCCTTTTATATATTCCTTTAATTAAATCCTCTAGCTCCTACCTTCCACGCAATGGGACCTTAACAGAAGCCTCAAAGATCCAAGTGTGGCCCAACTGTGGCAAGCAGAATGTTCAGAAGCTGGCCTGGCGGTGACACCAGGAACTGGGGACAGGAGCCCTCAGTAGTGTTTCTCCACGCGCTGTCACTGACCAGCTTTCAGAGGCTCCCCTCCAGATCTCCTGAAGCTCTAAGCTTGCGGGGGTCTAGGAATCTGCAGAGGATTCTTCTGATCCACCGCTCCTGAGGAAAAGAAAATACTAGGAGATAAGACTGAGCCATTGTGAGAACCGGGAGCCTCTTCTCACACTGGGTATTGGGGAGGGACCCTTCCCACGAACCCTGCAGAAGCACCTCGGTTTTATTCAAGAAGCCATTCAGTTTCTTTACGCTGCTCCCACCCCTCTGGGTTGTAAGAAGTAATGTAGGAAAAGTGCCTAGCGGTTAACACACGGTAGCGAGCATTAAAAAACAAAACTCAGGAAGTAAAATTTAAAGATCTACTTGGCTTTATTAAGCGATTCATGAATTGGGCAGCATTCCATCAGGCCAGGAGAGACGTGCTCCAAGGAGTTGTCCAAAATGGAAGGTGCCGGAGTCCAGCCCCAGCAGGTCCAGGGGTTCCCGAAGGATGAACGGCGTCGGCAAAAATAACAAATGCACACAGACGACAGCAGTGTGTTAGGCCGCTTTATTGTGGCAAGCGTGGCATTATATGCGTTATTCCTTGTGGCGTGCATCATCTATGTTTCTCGGCTTTACCTAATTCTAAAAATGCTCCTTTGTGTCATCACCCATTAAGGAACCTCATGGTTATTTCTTTGTAACATTCCCTCCTCCCCTTTGCTTATTAATTTCTTGATACTACTTTCGTTATGTATCTACGTTTACTTATAGTTTATAAAGCGTTTGCTCTGCTATTTTCATGAAAGGCCATCCAGCTCTCAACACCTCAAGTGGAACATTGACAGGGACATGACTTCTTAATTGTTCAATTGACCCTTTGAACAATTTGCGGTACAAGGAACAAAAGTATTCGCTTTGGTCTGGGGTGGCGGGAGGGAGCCAAGAGGGCCCTGGGAACCCACGCCTTATGCGCTCCCAGAGAGACAATGTATACCTAGGAATTAATGAACCATTCTATATCTTAACCCACCAGGTCCAGTTACCATCTGGAATGCCTCCTGGGGGCCAAGTGGGCCTAGGGGTTGGAGTAACTTCTTTCCATAGATACATTCCTTTGTGGCCGGAGTGGGGCTTTCGAACCCATTTGCCCCCCTCCCTGGCTGGGAAATATATGGGGCTATCTTTCCTTTAGGGGACGGGCAGGCGGGGATGGCACCCGCTGGATAAAAGGTTTCTTTTTTGTACTGGGGGTCATCCCCAGAAAATATCCCCGAGTTTGCCCCCATGGGTTTATTTTGAATCATCAATGCCAGTTGGACCATGGGGATGGCCGTGATGAGTAACAGGAGGGATACCAGTAGCTTCCCATTCAGAGGGTCGCTGTGCATTGCCCTTCTGCCAACCACCCAGGCTGTGCCATCAGGAAGGCTGGACGGATCGGCTCCCGGCAGGAACGTTTTTATAGGAAAGAGGGACGCAAGAAGTTATTTGCAAAAGAAAAGATGGTTTCAGGCAAGGTCACCTTGGGAAGGGCAAGGGGTCTTATCACGCACATTATGTCACCTCCTTTGGGGGCAGGGGTGGACTGGAAAGGGCCCAAGTAACATACTACCTCACTGATACTGGCCAGAAAATTCCAGATTGCCTGGCTTCAAATTCCACTCCCGGAAAGTTTGAAACTGCAATTAAGTCTTGGTTTGCAGGACTGGAGGCAAGTGACTCCACCTTGGGCCTGCGGTTTTCTTTTTAGCGCTAATAACCATAGCACTATTAATGATCAACCTTCTTGTTTTTTCTCAGCTCCTTCATTTATTCCTTCACCTTGAAGCACCAGCTGAACATAACCGACCTTCCTGTGTTATTCTGGGATGGCAGTGCTGCCTATTCAGACAACTTTCAAACAAGATCAAGGTCAGGTGTGACCCACGGAGATCCTGAGCAGAAAATGAATCTGACTCAAAGGCCTGCTGTTTTACTTCTCACAGGCATTTCTTTAATGCCATTTAAAAAGTTTTTTTTTTTTTTTTTTTTTTTTTTTGAGAGAGAGAGAGTGAGCCGAGGAGGGGCAGAGAGAGAGAGAAGGAGAAAGAATCCCAAGCAGGCTCTGCACTGTCAGCACAGAAATCAAGAGTCGGAGGTTCACTGACTGAGCCACCCAGCGCCCCTGATGTTTATTTTCGATAGCGTATGTTTCCTGTACAAATTTCAATAGGAATAAAAAAAGTATACAGTGAAAAGGCTGTTTCTCTCCAGCCCTCTGCACTTGGACATCTTTTGAGGCAGTCCCTGCTAACACGTCCCTTTCAACTTTGGAAACAAACTTACAGATTTTCTCTGTCCCCGTGCACAAATGAGTAGCACACTTTACACACGATTCTGCCCCTTGATTTTTCTTACACATTTTAGAGCTCTTTCCATACCGGCACACACAGAGCACCCTTCCCCTTCCGAGCTGCTTACATGATTCAGTGGAATGGATGCAGCGTGATCTAACTCTCCCTGTGGGTGGACATATTAAAAATAATGCTGTGCATCTGAAATTGCACAAGCTTGCCTGTCGGGGGGGGGGGGGGTTGGGGACCGCTGGAGAAGGGCCGGCTGGGCCAAAGGGCGTGTCCATAGCCAACGTCAATCCACGCCACCAACCGCCCACAGCAGTGTTGACATCCAATTTAGGCTCCTACCAGAGACTGCCTGCCGCCCGTCCCCTACACCTTCACCAAAAGGCATGGTGAGGGCCGATGGTTTTCATCTGGGGCCCCTAACATAAGAGTTTAAAGACCAGGGCGCCTGGGTGGCTCAGTCGGTTAAGCAACCCATTCCGGCTCAGGTCATGTTCTCTCTCGGGTCCTTGAGTTCTAGCCCCGCGTCAGGCTCTCGGCCGCTCTCTGCGCAGGCAGCACAGAGCCTGCTTTGGATCATCTGTCTTCCTCTCTCTCTGCCCCTCCCCCCACCTCAAACATCAGCAAATAAAAAAGCGGGGGAGGGGGGACAGTTAAAAAAGAGACCCGACCAACCGAACCCTCCTGTCCCGCCTCCCCGACAGGGCGTACCCAGAGCGCACCCGGGCCGCCCACGCGGGCACTCCGGGCGCACCCCGGCCCGGCCAAGGTGCCCTTGCGGGTACGGCGACACAGACCCTCGGGCGGCCGCCACCGACCGTCACCCCCGCGCCAGAGGACTGCGGCGGCCGGGGCTGAGCCAGCGCCAGCCAATCCCCGGCCGGCCCCGGCCGTTTTTACAGCAGCAGGTCCCAGCCAATCCGCGCCGCCGCCTCCCGCCCTGCGCCCTCCCATAGGCCGAGCGCCCGGCGGCGCGGCGCGGCCGTAAGGCGGAGCCGGCTGTCGTGACGCGGGCCCCGGGGGCGGGGGCGGCGTTCCCACTGTTCGCTGGACTGGGTGTCATCGGGCTCCGAGGAGCGGCGGCCGGGGCACTGCGGGGTGTCTGGTGTCGGGCACGGCCATGGCGGGCGCGCTGGTGCGGAAAGCGGCGGACTATGTCCGGAGCAAGGACTTTCGGGACTACCTCATGAGGTGACGAGTCCCCCGGGCCAGACCTCCGGAACCCCCGAGGGCTCCCGGAGGTCGGGGTTGACCCCGCCCGGGACGCGGGGGCCACGAGGGCGCGGGGGCCGGGCGGCGGGGCCAGCGGGGGTGGGGGGCAGCGGGGCGGGCTCCGGGTAGAGCCGAGGCCCCTGGCCCCTGGCGCGGTTTCCTGGCCGGATGTCGCCTCTCGGCACCTGCGGGGCAGCTGGGCGCCCAGGTGTGGGGCTGGGAGGGGCCGGCGGGAGGCGCCGGGAGAGCGTGCGCGCGTCCAGGACGCGGGCGCTGCTGCAGGTGCGCGCGATCGCCCCTCCTGGAGTCCCCGCGATCACTTGTGCCGGGTCCCGCGCGCTTTTCCGTTTTCCGGCTTCGGAGGACTTTCAGTCTGAGCGGGGAAGGGAATCCAATCTCAAATATTTTTATGCACGAGTATTCTGACGGCCAAAGTAAAGCCGCGCGTCTCCAAGGACAAGCTTTTCCTTATTCGATTTTCCCTTCACTCTTCCTTTCCAGTTAGAAACGAAGGGCATTTGCGGGTGAAAGGGCCCAAGACACACTTTCTACATTCTATTTCCATCTCGAGTCTTGAGACTCTTGCTTTTATTTCGGAATATGTAGTATAACTTTACAACCTTCATATATTATTATATTATATTATATTATATTATATTATATTATATTATATTATATTATATTATATTACATTACATTATATCAACCAGGTATTAAAGATTTTTAATTTTTTTTAAAGTAATCTCTACACCCAAGGCGGGACTTGAATTCACAACTCCTGAGGTCAAGAGTTGCAGGCGCTACCCACCGAGCCAATCTAGTGCCCCCGAAACAGTTTTAAATACTTTATTTAGGAGTTTAAGTTTTGGTTTTCCTGTCTTGTGATTTTAAAACCTAGGTGTTGGGCTATGTTTTGTTTTGTTTTGTTTTGTTTTGTTTTGTTTTGTTTTTGGGGTGGGGGGGGGGAGAGAATCCCAAGCAGGCTCCACGCTGGGTGAGCAGCTGGACCTGGGGCTCAGTCCCACCACCCTGAGATTCTGACCTGCGCCGAAATCGAGAGTCCCATGCTTGACGGAGTGAGCCATCCAGGCGCCCCTGTTTTGTTTTGTTTTGTTTTGTTTTGTTTTGTTTTGTTTTGTTTTGTTTTCCAATGGTGAATAGCATGCCGAAGAGGCTAAGTGAGGACCACTGAGGACAAATGAGTCCTGTAACCATCCAAAAGGTACAGCGCGAGGGCAACTGAACCTCTGCCAATGTGAAAAGAATTCCTTTTTAAGTCCTGAACTCTGCAAACACTGTTCACTTGTAATTTTACAGAGCAGCAGGGTGAGAGGTACGATTCAGTCTCTCCTGTGATGAATTTGGAAACAAGCTTCACTCCCGGCTCTCCAGTTAGGAAGTTTCTGTACTTGAGTAGGGCGGTGATTAATGAGGACAGATGTTTAGTGCTGTGGAGCTGGGTGGTTTATCAGAGGAACGCGTTGGGGAAATCTGAGCAAGTAGTCCTGCGAGGGTCAGTTCCCAGCCCTGCGGTTGAGTTTCTCTTGGAATGTTACCTTTTTACTACTGTCTTCTGCTTTGGATAATGGGCCTTCCTGATCATTAGGTACAGCAAAGGATAAAATTGTATGGAATAATTGAGAACAAAGTGGTCACACCTTATTCATTTAAGAAAAAATACTGATTTTTAGGTAACGTCCTATTACCTAAGAATAGTTTGTTAGATTTATTTTCGGGGCTCCTGGGTGACTCAGTCAGTTTAGCGTCCAACTTTAGCTCAGGTCATGATCTCCCAGTTCGTGGGTTCGAGCCCCACAACAGGCTCTGTGCTGACAGCTCAGAGCCTGGAGCCTGCTCTTGACTCTTTGTCTCCCTCTCTCTGCCCCTCCCCTACTCGTGCTCTATCTCTCTCAAAAATAAACATTAAAAAAATGTTTTTTAAATATATTTTCAAGGAAGTGAGCCCTGCTTTTCTACTTATTTCTCTTCTTATTTTTACTATTTTCTATTTCTGTCTTTTTTTTCCTAGCAGTTAGGTTTCCCAGAGCCGGACTTTTTAACTCAATATTTTGATATGGTTTAACCTTTCTTCCTAAGATTAACTTCATGTGGTTTACTGTGTGTATACTTTTTCCAGTGTTACTTTGAGTTAAGTCTTGACTAAATGAGGAAGAGAGTGGCAGTGCCCGGGGAAGAGTGCTGTCTCCTGGGGCAGCAGACGGAACAGTGACTCCTACTCAAGGGATCCCCAGCAAATCCAATCCCAGTGGGCCTCGGTTACCTGCCTGTGAAATGGGTTTAATGATCATGCCCTTTCTGGTTGGGTTGTTGAGAACATTAAACTGGATGAGGGATGTGAAAATAAATACTCAGACTCCCAATCACCATGCAATTCATAATTTATATTCGTGTGTGTGTGTGTGTGTGTGTGTGTGTGTGTGTGTGTGTGTGATCAGAAACACTCTATACTGTTCTGGAAAAGGTTAAAATCTTGTGAAGCTCTGTGATCCTGACCTGAAATGACTTCTGTGAACTGACTGGATGGAGCAAGATGCCAGGCTGGCTGTGTTTGCCCTGCTGCGGCTGTTGGCAGCAGTGGGTTTCATGCCCCCCACGGCCGGGGGTGGAGGGCCGCTGAAGGGCTGGTATCAGAACTCTCACCAGGCGATCTTTCCTTGAGCTTTTTCTCCTAGAAAGAGAACCTGCTCCCCCTACAACTTACAGGGGAAAGCTCTCCCTGTGTGTTCTCCCAAGCTGCTGTGCTTTGCAAATGAGAATTAAGCCCAAGGAAGAAAACCTCATCACCTCTCTCTTCCGTCAGAAATGAGGGTCTGCACATTCTCACCTCCGCAGTGACTTTGCACTCCTCTACCAGCGGAAGATCTGGATCCTTACGACCTACTGAGGGGAGACAGAGATCTTCTAAACTAAAGCTGTTCCTGAATTTTTTTTTTTAATGTTGTATTTATTTTTGAGAGAGAGTGCAAGTGGGGGAGAGGCAGAGTGAGAAAGGGACAGAGGATCTGAAGCAGGCTCCGTGCTCACAGCACAGAGCCCAGTGCGGGGCTCGAACTCAAGAACTACGAGATACGACCTGAGCTGAAGTCAGACGCTCAACCAACTGAGCCACCCAGGCGCCCCATAAAAATTATTTTAATAACACAGTTGAGTGTTTCAGCAAAAATATAAAATCCTATTTCATACAGATTATAAAATTCTGTCTGTCACATTGTATGAGTAAGATTGAAATGTCTTTCTTACTAATGTGGATTTCCAAGTGTATTTTAAAATGTTCATTTTTTTGCACCAAGCAACAGAAGTTAAGGAATAGGTTGTAGCCATAGCAAGAGTGTGGACTTTGATTGGATATAGAGTGGAAAAAAATCAAAGGCATTACGAGGACGTTTAAGTAGGGTCTTTTTTTTTTTTTTTAATGTTTTTATTTTTAAGGGAGAGAGAGACAGAGCATGAGCAGAGGAGGCGCAGAGGGTGAGAGGGAGACACAGAATCCGAAGCAGGCTCCAGGCTCTGAGCTGTCAGCACAGGGCCCGACGCGGGGCTCGAACTCACAGACCGTGAGATCATGACCTGAGCCGAAGTCAGACGCTTAACCAACTAAGCATCCTAGGCACCCCTAAGTAGGGTCTTAATATTAAGTAATTACTGACAGCTTTCGTCAGATGTGATTTATGGTAACGTCAGACCCAAGTGATGAGTTTGAACAGTGAGTTAGAATCCTGGCGCCCGTCATTTTTAGCTGCGTGGTCCTGGACAATTACTTATCTTTTGTGCTTTGGTAGCTGTTTGACAATATAGTATCCTGCTTGGCAAAAGTACGTGACCCATTTATTCTTTATTATTATGCCATGTTGAATCCTCTGGGTTCTGATACTCTTTTTTTGGTGCCTTCTGTCTCTTCTCCGGCTGATTTTCTTACCCTAACGAGGATCTTGAATCAAGAACTTCCTGGATCTCTGTTATCTTTTTTTTTTTTTAAAGTAATCGCCAAAGTGGGTCTTGAACTCACAACCCGAGATCAAGAGTCATGTGCCCTACCAACTGGAGCTGGACAGGCACCCCTGTCTTTTTTTTTTTAACTTTAAAAAATTTTCTCATATACCTTCTTGATGGAGTAAAAGAAATTGCTTTTTGTTTTTCCTTTCTTCATTCTTGCTCCTGAATTTTGGCTAAGAAGAATGAATTAAGATTGAACAAGTAAATTCTGAGGTGTAAGGCATATGCTTTAATGATTGAGTCAGTGACGGTCTGTGCAGATTTATTCTAGAGATTTACCCCCTTTCCTGAGAGAGGTGGGTGGATGGATGGATGGATACACACACACACATCTGTGTGTGTGTGTGTGTGTGTGTGTGTGTGTGTGTGTGTGTGTGTGTGTATACGTATATAGGGAGACACAGGATCTGAAGCAGGTTCCAGGCCCAGCTGTCAGCACAGAGCCCGACACGGGGCTCGAACCCACAAACCGTGAGATCATGACCTGAGCCAAAGTCAGATGTTCAACCGACTGAGCCACCCAGGTGGCCCTTGATGTATTTTTAAATGGTACCGAGTTTAACGTTCAGAAAAAAAAAATCACTGGAAAGTTTTTACTATTCATTCAACAAAGACTTTTTGAGTGCGTGGCAAATGCTGGGCACTGTTTGACGTTCCAGAGTTTTAGAAGTGAACAGAATGTAAAATTACTTGCCTGTCTTTAGGGGCTTTCTTTCTGGCGATAACCTGTTCCTAACGGCGAGCTCGCCGTTGCCGGAGCTGTGCGTCACCGCATCTCTCTCCTGCTTGTCCTTTCCAGAGAAACGCCCCCGTTCAGCCTGTGCCATCCAGCCTGACGGCCGTGAGCGCTTTCGCTGTGGCCACAGTCCAAATGGGGTGCACCCTGAATGTCTACATGCACCGGATCTCAGGAGCTTAATACAAAAAAAGAATGTAAAATAGCCCATTCATAAGTTTCTCTCGATTACGTGTTCAGATTAAGATATTTCCGGTACGTCAGAATGAACTTAATAAAATCGACTTCTTTTGTTTTACTTTTGTGAACGTGGCTTCTGGAAATCTTAAAATTAATGTGTGGCTGCTGCTAGTCACTTGCATCACGTTTCTGCAGGACAGCTTCGCTCTGAGGCTTCAGCATTAGACCGTGTCGTGAAACGGAGGTCAGCGCTGTTGCTGGGATTACCCCCACGTCTCAGGGAGAGAAGAGTGTGCTTGCTCACCTGTGGCTCTGCTGCGGGAACCGGAGCAAAGTGGGAGGTCGCAGGAACCTGGAGGAACAGACGTCTTTCAAAGCAGCTGATCTCTCTCTCTCTCTTTTTTTTTTTTCCATGTCTCTTGTCTGCGCCTTGGTGACTCCTCACCAAATAGTACGGTAAGAAAATTGTTCTCCTTCATTTCAAGCTTTTGCAGACTTTCTGCACTAACAGAGGTATGGATGGCAGGCCCGGCCTCCTTTGCTTGAGATAGCGTATCCAGCCACCGTGCCTGGTGGCTCTCCCGGTGTCCCCCTGGGTGACCTGGTCCACTCTAGGCGCTAACCCCTGGCAGGACCAGTGCCTCGACTGCTGAGCTGATGGGCGTGGGCCAAACACGTATTTCCAAACAGGGAAGTGACACCTAGAGGCGTGTACTAGGCGAAGGATGCGTTACTGACTTTCCAAGGCTAGATCTCTTAGTGAACGAGTATTCAAATTATTTTTACCTTTCATGTTCTTTTTAAGAAACAGTGTTCATAATCGAGTGTGTAGGTAGCCTTCGACTTGCAGCGCTCTGCCTCACGCTTAAGTCCTCGCACCAGAATTCGTGATCCCGTCATTTGTGCGGACGACCCCAGGGCTGCTGGGAGTATGGGATTTCTGCCCTGGTCTTGTCCGTGGCCCTAGCCGTGAGGGAAGACTCCTGTGTGCCCGGTGGGGGAAGCCCCTCCTAGGCAAACTCTGCAGGCTGTTCCAGCCCGGAGGCTGTGTGTGATAAAGTAGATACTGGGCCACCGCGCAGTGCGGAGCTGTGGAAAGATTAACTAGAAAAAGACGAAACTAGACCAAAGTGGAGAAAGGCCTGGTCAAGAGAGGAGGAAAGGAAGACACTGGGGTGGTAGCTGGAAAATGAAGGGACTCCCAGGAAAAGGACAGGTGGAGAAGGGAGGAAGATGGAGACGGAAGGCTGGGGGCCCTCCGTCACCAGGCGTCTGGGATGGAGGGGAGAGAACGGACAGCGGCCACCCGTCGTCCAGGTACTGGAAGTGAAGGTTCTGGAGGTGTGTCTCACCCAGATAACATCCGGTCTAAAGACAAGAGGACTAGTTGGCCGCCCCGAACCCCGGAGATCGTTTGCACCCGCTGTGTCTCGTTTGCGGGGTCCTGACTGACTCTGTTGTAGACTGTCAGTGCCTAGCGTCCCGGCCCCGCGGGACCTCTGATGCGTCACCACTGTTTCAGACGTAGCATGCGAAGTAAGCACTGCAAAATGCTCTCCTGTCCGGCCAGGTGTCATTCTCCTCTGTTTTTCTTGGATTTCCCTGGTCTCCCGCTGCTTATGGGAGTTTGGGTTTTAATGACTCCTGGTCAGTGTCAGAAACGGATTCAGCAGCCTGCATTTGTCTTAAATGCTCCAGCGGGCAGCACCGCACAGATTACTGCTTAATATTCTGAAAACTAAGAAGGGTGTTTAACCAATGACGTGTGGTTTCTTTCATATTTTAAAGTACTGAAAATTGCACATTCATAAAACAATTTTTAATGTGCTGGAAAAGCCAGCAGCCGGTTTTATCAAATTGGGTGCCGCTGCTGTTAAACACGGGCAACTTCTTGGTTCCGGGGCGGCCGTGGTCACAGCGTGGCACGTAGGCGGGGTCTTTGCCATCAAGAGTAGTTTCCAACCTTAATTTCCTAGGATCTGGCATTTCTGAGTGCGGATTTCCAGGCTCTCTGATCTTAATCTAGTTCACACGAGCTGAAAAGCAGGTTCTCCCCTCTTAGGGTACTTTCTTCAGAAAAAATACCCAGTTTAGGATCTGCATGGTAAGAGATAGTGACAGATCTCTTAATGAGCATTTGAAGGGGGAGGGGGGCTGATAGACTTAAACATTACCTTGCGGAGGATAGTTGTAATGAGGTTTAAGTTGTGCCAGGAGGGCATGGGGTGAGAAGTTAATCGGATTGAAAGTTCTCTGGGCGGGGCATTCGGTTCCCTGGTGGGAAGCTGCCAGATATTTTCTGCCTCTGGGCTCGCCTTTGAAGAGCGGCCCATTTCTGGGCTGACCCTTGAACAGTCAGGGCCCAGATGTTAACCGGCCTGCAGGCCGTGCACACGATGGTGAAGACCTGTCCTCACGCATTTCCGTTATCTGCGTTATCACTTAACGGAGGGCCGCAGCTGTTCACGCCCGTCTTATGCTTTTCCTCTTCCCTTTCCCTCCTCTCATTTCTGTAGCACTTCTGGGGCCCTGTAGCCAACTGGGGTCTTCCCATTGCTGCCATCAATGACATGAAAAAGTCTCCAGAGATTATCAGTGGGCGGATGACATTTGGTAAGGATGCGGCTGAACAGTTGGGGGGACTTCACGCATAGAATCACGCGGAATACGGCTCCCACGCTCTGCTGTTTGCAAGCGACCTATAGAGCGACACGGCGTTGGAATGGCGTTGCTTGTCCGTGGGGAGGAAAAAGCAGAGTTGTTTTGAAATATTTATCTAGAAAGTGGTGGGGTCCTGTGTGCCTTTCAGATGGGCACGCAACTAAAAACTGTCCTCTCGAACCTCTCTTTGGAGGAAGTGCCTTCAAGTGTATTTGGAGCCCTGCTACTTGTCCTTAAGGTGTTGTTGCGGGATTAAGTAGCAGTTCTTCCAGACGGTGGGCCGTAAACAGTTCTGAGGGGACAGGAAGTGGTCTGAGCTACTGGCCACTGCAGCCAACAGACCCGTCCTTAGAGTGTTTAGTAAGTAAGGCACCAAGCGGCAGAGTAAAATGTAGGATGAGCTTTCCATTCACGGAAGCATTTAGGCAGTGACATTCTTCATCTGCCACGAGTTTCAGCAGGAGAGATTCTTGTTCCGATTAAGGTGATTGGGCCCCGACCTCCGAGCACGCAGCTGGGGTCTGCCGAGCCGTAAGTCATTGCCTCGCTTTGATGTCTCTGGCAGCTCTCTGCTGTTACTCCTTGACGTTCATGAGATTTGCCTACAAGGTGCAGCCTCGAAACTGGCTTCTCTTCGCCTGCCACGCCACAAACGAAGTCGCCCAGCTCATTCAGGGGAGTCGCCTTATCAAATACGAGTAAGCCCCTTCCGGCCTCATCACTTCCGTTTTGAGAAATTACGGAGAACGAAACTCAAATCCAGAGGCGTCGGGGGCACCGGGCGTGAGTGTGTGCGGAGTGATGCGTTAGCTGTGGGGGAAGCTGGACTCTGAGCAAAAATAGGCTGTTGAAAAAAAAAATATGCTGCTGAATTGAGAACAGTGAGCGCACTGCAGGTTTGCTTATTAAAGCGTGCAAATTGACAGGAAGTAGGATGTTGCTGTTTTCATAACATTTTCGGTTTTACTAAATGTAAAGGTGTCTTCTCAAAGTCATCCAAGTTCTTGGAGGCCCCAGTGAAATTTGTCTCAAACAGAATTTTTCTTTGTGTTTATTTCCAGGATGACTAAAAAGGCATCAGCGTAACAAGGGAAAATGAAAAACCAGCTGTTGGAAGGGAAGCTATGCCGCTGCTGAGTCAGTCCGCCTCACGATAGGCTCGCTAAGGAAAACAGGCTGGCTACTATTTTTACTAACCAGTTTTTCTAGAAATAGCTGAGAGTCCCGAAGCCAACTCTCTGCTGCCTTACAAGTACCGAATATTTCACTTCTCTTCGTAAAGAGTAGCTCAAAATATGCAATCGATTTAGTAATTCCCGATGATGGTTTTATCTGCGGTAATACGGATAGTACCTGTTAGAGTTTACTTAACGAAAAACCGAAGAGAACATCGTTTGTAATTGTTAGCATTTAAGTACTCAGAATTCTTAACTGTAATGACCACGAGACCGACGGCTGGCCACATACTCCAATCTCATTGCCAATGTTTTGAAAAAGTGTGTATTTCCGTGCAGTGTGTATATTGAGCTGCTGGAACTTAATGGCAATAAACGATTCAAATGTTTGTCAAATGAGTGTGATATTAAGTATCTTGCTGGGCTAGAAAACCGCAGAAGCAGAGCGTCCCTGGAAAGAGCGTTGTGCGTAGAGTGGCGCTCCTGGAAAACGAGGAAGGCGGCCGGGGGACGGCGAGCTGGACGGCCGGTGTCGGGAAGGCGCCGACGGTCACTCAGGACGCGCTCTTTCCTCCGGGCGGCGTTAGAAAGTGCGCCCACGGGTGGCACCCGGAGCAGGCCGTGGGGTGGCTGATGTCGAGCCGAGCCGTGCCCCCGAGAGCCGTCGGGTGACAGCCCACAGCAGACAGGCACGTGTCCCCAGCTCTGCGGGCGCCCGAGCGGGGGAGCCCACGGCTCAGGAGCCGCTCCCGGGAGTCGGCTGGGTGGGGGGAGGCCACAGCGCTAACCCGTCCCCACGGATGGCGGCACCGCTTTCTGTGGCAAAGAGCGGCAGGCGGATCGGAGTCATCTCTCGCTGCCACTCTCTTTAAAGGCACGAGACCGCGGGCGGAGCGTCCTCACCTGTGCTCCCGTTTCCCCTCTGGAGGCGAGGGGGCGCCGCCTCCGGGGTGCCCTCAGGCCCGTTGCTCCGCCCTTGACCCGAGCGGGGGTCGGGCGAGAGGACCCAGCGACGAGAGCCCGGACTGGCTTAGCGAAGCGAGAGCGCCAGGTTCCAGTCGTGCAGGTAACGTCGCTTGTGAGAACCCCAGAGCGCAGGGTGTGGAAAGTGCCAGCTGGAAGCTGCCTGGGGCTTCCGGCCGCCCTCCGGTGCCAGCCACCGCTGGCGTTCTGGTTTGGGATCTTCCTCTTTTAAAAAAGGTTTTGTTTCAATCTTATTTATTTAGAGAGAGCACGCACACACGCGGGGGAGGGTCACAGAGAAGGCGTGACAGAATCCCAAGCAGGGGATGCAACGTCATTGCAGAGCCCGATGTGGGACCCGAACCCACAAACTGTGACATCGTGACCCGAGCCGAGATCAAGAGTCGGACGCCCAACCCACTGCGCCCCCAGGCGCCCCTGGGATCTTCCTCTTTCTTTTGTCCCTCGCGGTTCTCGTCCGCCCGTCTCACGTGCTACTGGGGAACGAGGGCCTTTCCCGCCTCTGAAGGGAGGGCGGTCCCGAGAGCCCCGGGGACCGTGGTGCAGACACTGCAGACCTGTGAGCGGGAGGCCTCATGACACAGTTCCGCAGGCTGCCTCAGTGGGCCTCCCCGTACGCCTGAGAAGGCAGGCAGGGGCCAGCACGGTCCCTTCTCCAGCAGGTGTTCCTGACGTGAGACAAACCTGCAGGGGCGTCTGGGCGGCTCAGGCCACGATCTCAATGGCTCGTAGGTTCGAGACTCACGTCGGGCTCTGTGCTGACAGCACGGAGCCTGCTTGGGATTCTCTCTCTCTCTCTCTCTCTCTCTCTCAAAAATAGACAAATACATTAAAAAGAAACCTGCAGATGGACACAGAGGAACACATGGGATGAAAGTCCATGCAGACGATGCAGAAGTTGCATGAGGAGGGGGTACTGGGTGCCCTAGGGGAGCAGGGAGGTCCACCATCCTGGGGAAAGGAGCGAGGGACCAGGAGGGGACACTGATCCTGTCCCTGGCTCCCTCAGAGGGTCTGAAGCTCCCAGCCGTCTGCCTTCTCTGTGCAGAGCCGAGTGCTTGCGGGTCGGAGGGAGGGTACGGGCGAGACCAGAAGGTGTGAAGCGTTCCACTGCGGGGGTCTGGGTCCTGATCTCACCCAGATCAACGCCGACGTGAGAAAGTACGTTCCAGAGAATTCCTTTGTGTTTTTGTTCTTGTTGTTTTCAAGCTTCTTGGTTGCTTTAAAATGACCAGTAGCAGAAAGGACACTTCCCACAAGTGGGCGTCCAGGTCGTCGGTGATCCTGGTCAGGAGAAGACCGACCGGTTAGCCGTCACTCTGCTCTCGGGCAGTGGCAGCCTTCCAGGCGGCAAGGACTCCGAGGCCCGGGCCGGCTCCCGCCCGTACTGCTTTCTTCCTGGGGACTGGCACGGCTCTGCCTCCTAGGGACGTTTGCGGGATATTCTCACGAAAGGTGGCGTCGGGTCCGTGCCCAGGGCCCTGTGTGGTGGAGACACTGCTGGTGACGTTTGTACAGTCACCACAACACGAGTCAGCCCTCCAAGTGGTAGCGGCCCCACGAGAAAACGCAGAGACAGGACGGGGTCGAAGCAAAACTTGGTTACCCGAAAAAGCCCAGAAATACACGCTCAGAATGTCTAATGCCTGCACATGACCATCTCTAAAGGTAACACACAAGGGCTCCCGAGTACTTTTCATTTTCCGGTAGCAGAATACACGGATGCACGTGTGCTGTCACCAACCTCCAAGGCGAGGCTGGCACCAGCTGTCCGTGCTCACGTGCTGTGGTGGCTTCAGGCATCTCCCTTCTTGCTGTGACCACCCCGTGGGGTGGAGGTGACCATCGTCGGGCGCTTCCTGACTGCGCGCCACAGACAGCGGGGGTCCTGGCGTGGCGGCTCAGGGCGAGAACGGCCACTGCCAGCTTGAGGAAACCGGACCCTCAACGGCCTTTTGTTTCCTAATCCTTCCTCCGCAGGCGGCTGGCACCGTGCCCTCGGCCACACACACCCGCCCGGCGGGACCCAGGCTGGGCTCGTTCGTCTCCGTCCTCTTCCACTTGGACCTTGGCTTCCCAGGTGCGTTGCGGGGTCCGTCTGGATGGCGTGTTTACACGCTAGTGAGAAAGTGAGCGTGGGCCCTGGCATGTCGACATTGTATCACTTGGAAGTCACTTGGATGGCCTCAGAGATAATGGCCACATCATCTAAAGCAAAGCCCGAGTTACCTGGCACCGGAGCCCTTGGGGGAGAGCAGCGGCAGGGGTCCGAGCAGAAAGGGGCCGCTCCGGGCAGGAAAACCCCCAGAAAGCCCCGGCCTCACTGTCAGCCCCCAGGCACCTGCTGAGAGCTGAGCTGAGCCGGGCGGGCCCACAGCACTCCCAGGGTTTTGCTGGTTTGGGTGGAGGTGACAGGAACTGCGGGAGGGTGGCACGAGGAGGATGAGCCCCTGGCAGCTTGACTACGAAAGGACACAGCTGCTTTACCTACGGGCACAGCAAGTGATGTTCCTTGGCCCGTTAGCCAACATCCGCCATATTCCTAATGAACCTGGCGGAACTGCTTTCAGGGGCTCTGGAAGGTCTGTCTGCGGCAGATGGGACCATATCGCAGCCCCGCCTGGACATTCCCACCGAAACCAGCAGGTGCGTGGTGCTGGTTAAATGGTGGTTTTCTATTTCTGTTTATCAGCAGGACGCTCACTTACAAACACAGCCCTACTGAAACGGCAGGATACGTGCTCCACTCTTTCCTTTCTCACTCAATTTTATTTTATTTAAAAAAAAAATTTTTATGTTTATTTATTTCTGAGACAGAGAGAGACAGAGCTTGAGTGAGGGAGGGGCAGAGAGGGGGAGACACAGAATCCGAAGCAGGCTCCAGGCTCCGAGCTGTCAGCACAGAGCCCCACGCGGGGCTCGAACCCAGACCGTGAGATCATGCCCTGAGCCGAAGTCAGACGCTTAACCCACTGAGCCACCCAGGCGCCCCGAGTTCACTGCCGTTGCTCAGGTTTGTTTTAAAGGTGAAGGCTTTTGCAGTTCTTGGAGCTGATAGTTCTGAGGACGTGGTAGCTTTGGGCCAGTTTTCTCAGTGCGGGAAATCGGGGGTCAGCCTGCGAGCGCACTTCGAGGTGACAGGCCCATCTGAGCAATGCGATCTCTACGAGCGCAGTAGCCACGTGGGGAGGAAGGGGGCACGCGTGCCCAGGGCGTGCTCGCAGAGTCGCTTGCCTGAAGTGCTCTGCCCCGGGCTCTGATCCGTTTCTCTCCGCCAGAGGCAGAGACGCACCCTTCCCTGGGCTGACCCTTCCCCAGGCTGACAGCCAGGTGCGGCCAAAAGTGGTGTCACTGTGACAGTGGTCTTGGGTTTTTTTGTTTGTATTTTTAAGTACACAACTATAGTCCTTAAAAGGTCTTAAATACAGGGGCGCCTGGGTGGCTCAGCCGGTTGAGCGACCGACTTTGGCCCACGTGTTCGTGGGTTCGTGGGACTCTGTGCTGACCGCTGGGAGCCTGGAGCCTGCTTCGGACGCTGTGTTTCCCTCTCTCCCTACCCCTCCCCTGCTCCTGCTCTCTCTCCATCTCTCAAAAAGAAATAAATGTTAAAAAAAAATTTTTTTTGAAAAGGTTTGATTCTGTCCATCTCCCTAGAATCTCCCAGAGCAAGGTTAAACGGACTCCCACGAAGTCAGGAGGCTGTTCAGAGAGAATTGTTCGGATTTACACGCCGTGAGCCTCGGCGCGGAAGTACATAGCCTGGTCCATGGAAACTGTGGGTGCCACGGGCATTTACGGACAGAAGTCAGAAAGGGGGGGCACGAGGTAGAACTTTCACATCGGGACGAGAGTAGACAGTTGAACTGTGTAGGTCGGTGACAGCACTAGAAACGAGGTAGGAAAAGGTAGAGTTGACTTGTTTGGGCCAGAACTCATCAGTCGTCACAGTGACACTGCTTTTGGCCACACTTGGGCGTCAGCCCGGGGAAGGGTCGGCCCGAGGCCACTGCAAGGCTAACGTGGGCGGTAGGGAGCTTCACCGCAGCGTTTGCTTTTGGCCGAGAGAAACGTGTCAGAGCCCAGGGCAGAGCACTCAGGCAGACGATCCGGGAGCACGCCCTGGGCACGTGTGGCCCCTTCCTCCCCAGCGGGTGAGGCACTTTGCACAGAACAGAGAAAACGGAGACTAGCAACACAGTAATAGAGCGGTCAGCGGACCCAGTCTTTCAAGTTCTTCTGCATTTCAGTTCAACCACACTCCCCTTCCTCCTAAAAGCCTTTCTAATTAAGAATTATATAACTTAGGGGCGCCTGGTTTGTGGGTTCGAGCCCCGCGTCGGGCTCTGTGCTGGCAGCTCGGAGACTGGAGCCTTCTCTTGATTGTTTGTCTCCCTCTTTCTCTGCCCCTCCCC